AACGCAGTGTCACGGGTCATCACCACTGAAATTAGTGATGCCACACTGAAAATTGGTTGCCCTTGCTCTACAGCCGTTGTAACTGTATCTGAAAAAAAAAACCTGTTTAAGAACAGTGCTTCAACACAAAAGGAGTGTTTCAGAAGACAGGCCTCTTCTATGTATGATACAAGAAATTAGTAAGTTCCTCAACTGTAAAGGGTATAAGTATGCTAATTCTTGTCACCCCACCCCACTCAGTACACTCTTGCATATAAATGCTAGCAGTCTGTAAGACATATGTAATGCTCAGATTCTGCAGAGATCAACACTGCCTGTGCTGGGAAAATCTGTAACTACATTTCCTACAAATGACATTGTCATCAATAGCATTCACGTACTGAAATGGATTCCAAGAACTCCATTATCAACTGTCATGGCTCAAACTTCCTGCTTTTGTTTTTTCTTAAAGTATTACCCTCTACGTACATGCTCGGGCCCCACCTTTCTTTGGCAGATGAAGGGAATAGGAAGAGGGACTGAGAACTGCAGCTTTAAAATCAGTTCTGCGTCACATGTGAGTCATGCCATTGATGGTTCCTGAAGGACAGTGTTTTGTGAGATGGATAACCTGTGATTTAAGTGGACCCACTGCTGTGTAAGCAACAGATAATTTGAAGGTAGAAATTGAATTTCAAGCCTTTAAACAAGCAATACTGGTTGATCTCGCATCAGCCACCATGAGATGGTCGCAGTTCAACCTAAATTACTAGTTTTCCTTTTAAGAGCTGACCTGGCTGTAGCTATAATCATTCACAATCACTGCCAAAAAACAGGGCCTGGAACAAATGAAAAATAATTTGTTTCCCTGCCCCACCATCCAATATCCAATGAAGGCAGTGAAAGTTCAAGGTCCTCGCCCCCCTTTCTATAGGGGTAACATACAATGGACTGGAATAGGGCACTGCCTATTGTAGGTAACATAGGATGGACTGGAATAGGGCAGTACCAATACAAAGTAGGTGAAGAAAAACTTTGTAGTCAGGGTGTGATATGGTACTACAGAATAACATCAGATGGCTGGTAATCTGCAGGCTACATACCCATTTAGGAATGCCTGACCCAAATAAAACACACACAGTATTTCTGAAAAGTAAAATAGCATACTGAATAGATTAAATTATCCTTGCCTCTTTCCCACTTAACAGTCACAGTCACTCAACACCCTTTGAACTGTTGTGTTGTCTCTGCTTGGCCACTAAACAGACATGCAGAGAAATAATGACCAGACACATCAGTCTTTATGCAGGAAAGCACAATAATGATCTCTTAGATTCCATTTTCACTAACATTGCAGTCTAGGTGATAGTGTATACTGCATACTGTGCTTCTCTTTAGTTGTAGCTTAGAAGAATTGAGCTTGAAAGATGCAGTGTTGGAGTTCTGCATCAAAAGATACAAAGACTATAATCCCTCCTAGTGGGGAACCAGTCTCTAGGAGATGATGGGAAAATGGAAAGTTAGTGTAGGCCTCTGCCTACATCAGTTATCTTTGAATAGGTTGCAGTGAAGGAAACAGCATACTAGCTGAAATGGAGACTTGTGACTAAGCAGCGTAATGGAAACCTGCTATAAAATGTCGATAGTTCTAGGGGTGAGCTCTACTGCCTCTACTGACTGCAGAAGCTGCTGAATACAACACAGAAATCCTCAGACAGCAGGTTTTTAATGGCCCCTTGGTTCCCACTGCATTGTCACCTTAGTATGAACTTTAGGAAAGGCCCTTTGACTAGGACAAATGCAAGAAATAAAAACTGTTTTTTTAGCAATCTGATGGCAAACTGCCTCTAAGTCCCTGAAATCCACCTCCAATTGTAACAGACAAAAGATAAAAAAGGAGTAAGAGCAGTTACTTACAGGGATTAAATTTATTATCTTTCCAATAAATTAAATTAATCAAACATATTCTGAACAGCTACTGGGCAAAAAGAAGTGTGTGGGGGGGGATGGGAGCGTGAGTATCATTCAGCTTGTAGAAAGGGAGAGCAAGCTGATCCTCAGAATAAGATACCATCAAAAAGACTGACAAAGGTGTTCTAACAGAACCACAAGACAGCTTTAATAATACTGGAAAGCAGTAGG